AAACTATCCTTATTAGTCAACCTTCATGGAAAAGTTAGTGGGTATGCTGGGAAAAATGCGCGCGGCACTTTTTTTGGACACTGAAGATGGTAACATTTGATGTTGTCATATATTGCCATCCTCTTATCATAGCATATAACTTAACTTATTTTAGTGAGTTTGTTAAAGCATTGTGCTCACTATATGCCTGTAGTATCTAAGACTTTTTCATAGCATTATATGACAAATTTAAGTTCTGTTTTCTTTTATTTTTAGGTGATAGTATCTGTTCACTTGAGTGTTGGTATCAAATTTTGGACAAGTTTCAATTATTATTTCACATTCCTTTATTCAAATATCCAAATAAATGGAATATGACATCAAACTGGACGAATAGATTCTGTTTCCAAACTTGTTTTTGTAAAAATAGAAAATAACAACTTATGTGTTGTTCTAATAAAAACTATTGTTTTTGATATGCATATTTAATTTTTAAAATTACAGTCATTCTTTGCTAAAAATGTGTACCAGGAATACTGAAATCTTTCAGATCAGCTACCAATTCCCTTTATAACTTATGTAGCCAAGTGTTCTATCAATTTCTGTTCAGATTAAACAAATGATGGGTAAAATATTAGTTTAGATTCTTTCAAAAAAAATGAGCTTGCCTTAGTTGCCTATTTTGAAAGCATAAAAAGCAATAAAATAAAGTAAAAGTACTTATTTTTAATTTAAAACCTTTGGACTGCATAGCTTAATGTTTTCCACTAAATATTACAAAGTTTTTATTCATTGAAATGTTGTTTTATCAGCTTTAAAACCAGATAAATCCACGAAGCACTCCTATAAATATGTCGCCATATTGATTTTTTCGCGCATGCTCCGTACAAAATGCCCAGCTGTTAGGGACAAGAAGTTATAGTGAGCGAGCTAAATATATATTAAAAGATGCTTTATTATACTATTGTTGCGTTTCAGGCTGCACAAATTACTTTAGGAATGTAGGAAAACTTCCTACATGCCATATTCGACATATTGTTTATTTTTTGACCCTCCAAACTGACCAAACAAGCGACTAGCCCCAGTCCTCTGCTCGATTGGGAAATGGCTAATTAACTGAATCAAATTTTGTTATTTATAGTGTGTATTATTATACAAATAATGAATGTTTATGAGTGCAATGGTAAGAATATTTTCATGAGGTGAAAGATGGAATGTTCCATTCAACGAGGCGACAGCCGAGTTGAATGGAACATTCCATCTTTCACCGAATGAAAATATTCTTACCATTGCACGAATATATATAATACCAAAATAGACTAATATTGAAAGGTTTACTATAAGCTCCGCCATTTTGACGAGTCGTATTTGCATTAAATCCCATTTACTGAGTTTCGAATATCGGGTTAAAATAAACTGCGATCACCGTACGAGAAGCATTTTGACGGGTGCGATTTATCGAAAACACAAAGAGTGCAATGGAATAAAACGTATAGTACAATTGCACTCCCAAAGAGTGCAATGGAACGTATTCCATTGAATCCAATACTTGCGAACAAATCTTTTGAAAAAGTAAAATATAATCTTGTGAACAAATAATGCCTGATATGTCCCTGAGCGAGAACTCGAGTCCAGTTCCAGTCCTTTTCTATTGTTTTCGTATTTTTTACATCGATTAGTAAAGAATAACACTATGGTTTATGAACTGATAACCTGTTTAGCGATACGGTCCAAACTGGTTGGGAAACATGAAATGGTATTAAAACTGTTTATGACCTTCATAGCTACTGGACGTCAATTTCCGCCATCTCGGCTCCACTTTTCTCATAGGCCGAATGACTGAAGTTCTTACTCCAGATAATTATATAGAGCTCACTGACGGTGCCCAAAATGTCTCACAGTGTCCTAGCCATATCTATGGTCCTAGCCTGGCCCGCGGCGAATTAGGGTTGCCATCTGGCTAATGCACAAACCAGTTACAAAGGCGAGAAGTCATTAGCCTTTTTAATAGCCCATTTTATTGCTGTTTTATTGCACTATGCTACAGTTATCGGCATTATAATTAAAGCAATACTCCTGAATTCTCTCATTAACAAAGTGAGAGAAGAGACAAAAAATATTGCCTTTAGAACATAGTAAATAACAACATCATAGAAAATGGCAAAAGGTATCTTTGCACAGTTCGAATTTGGTCATTCATTGGTAACTGCTTATATAGTTTTATTACTGTTAGTGTTATTATTGGGACTTCTAGCTAATGTCTTACTCTGTACCACAATCTGTAGCAGTGTGAGATTTAGACTGACTCCAAGCGACATGTTTGTGTGTGCTATGGCCAGTATACACTGCATTACATCATTATCTGCAGTACTTACTATAGATAACGTCTTACACACTTGGACTACTGGTCAAGCCACATGTAAGATAATATACTTTGTACTTCACGTCAGCTATCAACTGGTTTCGTGCATTTTGCTGATCTTACATTTGGATGAGTATATGAAGTTAAAGCATCTCAAATTTTATCAAAGTTGGTCGATTTCAAACCAGTGGAAGATGGTTATGGTTATTACATGGATTGTTATGTCAATATGTAATATTCCACAGTTAATCTACCAAGAGGTGCGGAGATATGCAACAAGAGAGGGGGAGTTTGTTTGCAGTTATGACTGTAACTCATTTGCATACAAACTTCACAGTTCATGCTCAATAACGATGCATATTATGAAATTTCTCATTACGCTCAGTCTAAATATCCTCATCCGACGGAAACTTTATTGCACTTCACCAAATACGGCCACCTCAGGAGGAAATGCCATTTTATTAGAAAAACGAAAACATTCATTGAAAATATTTTCAGTGTTATTTTTACTAAACTTTGTGTTAGCATCGCCTCAAGTATTACTAGAATTCTTTCATTCTGAGATCCAGGCTTCAAGAACATCATCCAATACTTGGCTTTTTGTTCAATTCTTGTATTTTAGCCGTTATTTTTGTTTTACTGTTGTGTACATTGTTATGAACAGAAGATGTTTACAACATGCAAAAGATTTAGCGAAGTGCTGTTTGTGTTAAGTCTTGAAAACACTAGTTAACTAAAGCTCAAATGGTTATATAAAACTATATACAGTATATAACGTATAACTGGGAACAAGGGGGAATGCCCTGGGGCAAGAAATGAGGTTGATCTGGTGAACAATACCTGACAGCGTCGCAACTAATTTGTTGTGTTACTGATATATAGATCAATAGATGCCATCATCAATCAACATTAAGGCTGTTTTACACTATCAAAGTTTCTGTGATCACAATAGGAATTTTGCACAGGTAAATTCTTGAAGGAATTTGTAAGAAATGCCTGAGGGAAGTGACTCAGCGCTTAACATTGAGTCAGTTCCGTCAAACATTTCTTACAAATCCTTCAAAACTTAGATTTTACCTTTGCAAAATCCCGACTGTGCTCACAGAAACGTTGATAGTGTAAACCAGCTTTTTTATAGTTTACAGAACACAATTATCAGAATGATTTTCAAGTGTGTATTTGCATAATAAAATACTACAATATATTCTGTAAATCTGTGGGCGTACTGGTTATTGTACAGCAATTAAGTTCAACAGGCATAACATGCATGCTGATTGGTGTTCCAAATTGATTGTTTCGAGAATTATTGTTCGTACCATCGTAGTCAATCGAGATATGATCAGGAAACTCGGCAAACGTCAAAGTGTCTACAATGAACTAGGATGTTATGTTGAGACAACTTCACCATGCACACTTTGAAACAATATCTTAAAAAATTTTCTATGGTTATTGATATTTCAACAGTACGGTGGATGAATGCTTCATTATTGCACCGAAAATTCATTCAACATTTGATCGCCTTTGTCTTGGCTATTGTGATTTGAATAACCTTTACTGCTTTTATCAAGAAAATTTAACTGTGTAAACATGTCCGTCGGATTCTATTCAAAACTATGACCAGAAAATTGGGCTGGCTGTTGGAGAACTTTTTCCCAAGGCAGTTAGGCAGATCCCATATCAAAGTCTGTGATCTCAGCTTTTGATTCAGGTGGTTTCAGATTTGCACCTTAATATATTGTTTTCTTGTTTTTTTGGCAACCTGTTTTTTTTTCCTTAGAAACCTGTGATTAGTTCCTTAATTAACATTCAGGCTCGTGCTAGCTAGTGATGGGACCAAGTTTTTGTTACCAACAAGCCCTCTCTATCTAACTGCATCATTCTAGAGATTTTAATGATAGAATGATGATTGAATTTCCTTTAACTGGATGTTGAACGCGCAGAACCCTACATCCATGGCAAAAATTCCGTGGACACCTTTGTCTCCCCCGCACTTTACAATGTTGGTTTGGACATGCATTTCACAAAGCTTTCATTTAATCAATTTGTAAGCTTTCAATATTGAACGGGGGGAGGGGGAAGTTAAAAATTCCTGTTTTTACACTTATGTATTTGACAAGGGAGGTATTTCTATTTACGCGCACGCTGTGCACAATAATTTTTGCCAGGATTATAGTTCCTTTCATGGCTTTCACCGAATCTGATTAAAATCGATGGATTAAAATTCCATGCTTAACATTAATGGTTACAACGTCTTCACATCTGATAGAGGCACTAGGGGTTGGTGGTGGGTCTTACTGTGCTTTCATGAAAAATTCCCCATCACTAATGTTCAAACTTTTGATGTTGAAACGTGTCAAGCACTGGTCTGTACATCACTCCACAGACTCAGGAGTGCAAACCTTCAAGTCTTGAATAAACCTTATTTATTAGTGAGAACAACAAAGATGACTATAAACTGTGTCTGTTTGGCGATTTCAATCTTCCTCTTATTGATTGGTCTACTTACTCCTACTCTCTTGGTGGAACCCTTTCTGTACAGTGCAGTGCCAAGCAACATACGTTGTTCCAATTCTGAAGAGTTTGTTTATCACAACCTTGTACAGATCTACTCCCCTCACAAACCTTGTAATTTTATACCTTCTGCCCCTCCTGATTTTGTGAAATCAGCATTCTATAGCCTTGACTTTATTAAAATCTAAGTACGAAGGAAACAGCTTTCATCAATTCTGTGGAATGCTCTCTGGGATATCTGTAAAACTGATATCGATTATTTTCCTGATTCTTTACCTTCACTATTCTTCAGATCTGTGAAATCCGCTGTCCAAAGAAAGCATTTCCTTCAAAGAATATTAATCATTGATCACTGGGGATTATCAATAGAAATCGGCGGAAACTCGAGGATTTTTCCATTAGAGTTAAGGACAATCCTTGCAGTCCTGCATCCCTGGTAGAAGCCTTGAGGGAAAGCTTCCTCGGATCCACATTGATATACGTGATCCCATCAACTCGAACCTCCTACAAGACTGTAGGCAAAGTAAGAAACAACACAAAGTACATTTACAGTTATGCCAAGCAGTTCTTGAAGAAAAAATCTTCTTCAGAAACAGTTTACCTGTGTCCAGCAACCCTTTGGATACTGACATTGACAGAGCTACATCTCTTAACCCACTACCTACAGAACAGCCATTTACAGATGAAATGCTTCGGTTTAGTGTTAGTGATATAATAGAAGCTATACATGATATACAGACAACTACAGACCTATCTCTCTGACTTCCCACATTATCCAGGTCTTTAAAAACGTCATTAAAAAGAAGCTTGTCAACTACCGGAGTCAATCTGTACTCGTTGAAGGTCATTATCTCTCTATCTTTCCCACAAGGAATTGTTCTTGGACCGATTATCGTTTTAATTTTTATCGACAATAGCCACACGACAATAGCCACATGCATCACTAACTCAATCCTCAGATGCTTCGCTGACGACACACGAATCTCTAAACAGATCATCTTTCAAAAAGTGTTACCACTCTGCAAGTCAACATGTTCGAGACAGGGACCGCGGAGCAGTGTGATTAACTGGGCTTTAACTGGGGTGTCTCTGAAGAAAATTTGCGATGCTTTGGAGTCTTTAGGTGCGGTATCTTCTAGAGTACTGTTGTCCAGGGTTTATTTTAACGTGCAGTTCTACACAAAATGTGCAGTTCTAAATCCATTTGTGCAGTTCTTAAAACACAAATGTGCAGTCACCAAACTAACAAAAATAGCCTTAATAAAACAGTCTTCTCATTTACTCGTTACTCTTATGGATGCTCCAGAAAATTCCAGAAATGCTGTCATTAATTGAGCATCAAAAATATAAACGTTTTCTGGGAGAGGACTCCAGACCCTTCTATTTTCCTCACAAATCACTTACGTGCTGGGGTAATGGAAAAGAAGCTAAATATTAGAACCTAATATTCTTTGCTGCCTGAAATGCAAATTTAAGGTTGTTATATACTGACTATTGAGTATCCATGATTCTCAGTTACATGTTTTGAAACAGTTTTTGTGAGTGGTTGGGTAAAACAAATCTTTTCCAGAACTTAAGAGGGCCTCTCACTCTCTCAGTAAAATCCACCCACTGGTTTGGGGAAGGGAAAATAGATTTAGCTCATATTTTACATATGAACTAGACTTTGGTCAATATTAATCGAGCTTCTTTCAGAACGTTTCAACTTTCTGTTTTATAGGAGTTATAGCCATGTTGAAATTTGACCTTGCGAAAATATTTTCAGACCGGAAATGAAGGGGAATTTTACAAGAATTCATCTGATTTTTTTAAAACGTTGTGATGCGTTTATCCCCTCCAGTTACTGTTCACATGCAAGATTAACACTAATACTCTCGTTTACATGGAGATTGAACAACTTTATTTGCTTAATACGATTTTTTTATAGTTTTACCAAACTATGTTTTCAAGATGGCGACGAGAGGCTGCAAATTGCTCATATTTTACTTAAAATAGCTCAAAAGTGGCACCTATCTGAAGTTCAAAAGGCATGTAATTTGAAAGTATACCTACTAAAGTTAAGTAATCAGGAATAAAACTCGTCTGCAAGCAATTTTCTGAAAAGTTATAAATCTCCGAATTGGGTCTATTTTTAGCTGTTTGTTTACATTCGCGTGTTCGCTGATCAGCGACACTAGTAATAGTTACAAAGTTAAATAAGCTGGTTTATTATCCAGCTTCTAATTCACAACATAGAAACATTAAAAATACAACCTTAACCATTCTCGGCTTATTCGCATGAATAATTTCACAACTGTTAAATATCTTTTTAAGGTATAATCGGGCAGTACTTTCTGTGGTTGTAGCAAATTTCAAAGCTGTCAGTATCTCTGGCTGTATATAAAAAGTGTTCGGTGCTTTAACTTTTTTATTCAACTTGTCTCGTAATCCTTTTCTGTCCCTGTAAATGGAAATTTTGCCGGAAAGGTCGTATCGGACATTAATTCTTGCAGCATGGATGCAACATATTTTTGTACATAATTGCACTGGGTCAAAATACTACAACCTTCCCACTTCCGCTTTTGTAGTCTGTTGTCATTTACTATTTTGTTTTGACTTTTGCATTATTGTAGCGGTTGCCGAATTATGGAGAAATATGGCGATAAAGTTTAGTTGTTTTTTATTTTTGTAATATTTTAAATAATTGTAACAAAGGTTGCATTTTTCGTTTGATTCACTGCATATGAACACATAAATGTTTTGAAACTGATTTAACTTATGTCGTCGTATTTCCCTATAATCTGTTAACCGCTACAATAACAGAAATACTGCAGTAAGAGACAGAGATTTTCAAAAAAATAGTTTTTAAAAAAGTTTTAAAAGAGTTTTAAAAAGCAAAAAAGTTTAAAAAGTTAGATTTTCAAAAAAGTTAAAAAAATTTAAAACGGTTAAAAAAGTTAGGGTTAGGAGTTAGGGATTACCGGTTAGGAGTTAGGGGATTAGTGGTTTGGGGTAAGTACGTGCCGCGAATTTATTATTATGATAAATTCAAAATGTTGTGCGAATTTATCATAATGATAATTTCGGACGTGTTTAAGAATTTACTCATATAGTAAATTCAAAGGTGGAGCTCATGCTGAACTGCAACACTAGCTTGCCAGTTATTTTTGATAGCAGCTCCTATTTTTACTTTGTGCATGCTTGAGTCAAGCCAATAGGCTTGCTGCAGCACCGTTCCAATCGATTTAAGATGGGGTAAGATTTGACTCTGATTGGATGATTAGAAATGTTCTCTGATTGGTTCTGATCAAAATTTGTACATGTCACAATCTAATTGGTTGATTGTTAATTGGATGTCGTTGCACGATAGCGAGGTTATTGCCGTATATTACCCTTCGCATTTTTAAATATTATATGCAATGAAAATAAACCTCTGGAACCAGGACTGGGCAGCGTATAACCTAAATACCATACAAAACGAGTATGATGATGATGACTGCAAACTACTCGAAGTGTCAATTGTTTTAACCAATCAAGTTTGATTAGTACCGAGAACCTCATCCATGATTTACTTATTACTTTTACCAACAACATCTGGGTTGGAATCGGCTCAACCTCTGTTGCTGACCAGCGCTGCTCGCCGTGCTGATATAGGAAACTGTTGCCGGATATCATCACTGTCCTTGTTATCGTTATTATATCGTCAGCTTCAAGAATATATTCCAAAGTTTCGACCCTTCCTCAGAGACAGCTTTGCTGGAATGTTGGCATGTTCCAGCTGCTTATACGTGCATTTCCTCAGGCTAACGAGAATAAACAACCACTCCCCGTCCGCAGGTTATCAATCAACTGCAACTTTCAACCGAGATTTACTTCTCTTTGCATTTTCTAAGATATACGCAATGAAAATAAACCAGAAAACCAGGAGAAGGTTGCATAGTTCCTAAAGACTTCTTAATGACGACTGCAAGTTAGTCAACACATTGAATGTTAACAGTATTCGGTGTGTTTATTAAGTAACTTCAGCACAACCTGCAGATATATAGTTAATTAAGCTAAATTCTGACACTGATCCAGCAATCCTCTGACTCTGTGGAAGCTAGGCTCTGAGGCTCCTGCATGGTAAATTTAAGCCGGTCAGTTTCACACGCATCAGCACATCCTGCGGCAGTACTATTCTCCACGGATAAATTGACATAAATGACGGATTGCGTTTTCTTGGCCATAAGAATGTATTTCAAGTGGAAGTAAAGTCTTTGTGGTTTTAAATATAGTCCTGATTGCAATCCATTGGCTGTCTCGACCCAGGACTAGTCATTGTTGAAGAGTGAAAGAGAATCGTCAGCGATTACGATGGTCACGTGACATATTTTCTCGGAGGGCAAAAATATATGATGTTGAATTATTTTTGAATTTTATAACATTTCTACCGTCAGATAGTTATTCAGGTTGACAAGTTGACATTCTGTAATATTTGTCTTAAATCTGTAATATAAATTAGCTATACACTTTCGCATTCCGTCACTGCATTTGTATGGTCTTGCTCGTTGCTGTGACAATAAAATAGCAATATAGTAAAATTATGCAGTTAACGATTTTCGGGAAATTTTCGGTTAGATTTTAATTATTGGTACAATCAGCAAGATAACGCGAGCACTTTGTGGTTTATGAAAGTGGTCATCATGCAGAAGCATCAGTTTAAATATGCCATATAGCAAAATACTTCAAACATCTTAATTCAAACATTTCATCTGTAAAATTTTACCAGATTGGTGCAGGACTATACTATTGAATGCTGTTTTGTAAATATATTCCTTAGTTTGATAATTCTCTATGGGGTGGCATTTCGTAAATTTGATCATAAACATTTTAATTAATTTGTGCATAGAGAGTTTTCTTGCCTGCCCAGCGTAATCGCCAGATGTACTGAATTAATGGCCGCGAAAATTACTGTCTACAATTTGAGCAAAAAAATTGTCAATAAAGTTTTACCGCAGCTGTATGAGTAGCGCCAACATGATGTTGTCTTAAGTCATATCAACGATTGCCTTTTGGTGAAGCCGCAATTTTAAACAAAGTAAATTGAATGAAGGCCGCGCGTGCATACAAAAGTATCTTAAAGTCATAACGAAGTAAAAATGTAAATTGATTTTGATCATCGTAACCGACCAAAGATCATCTTGTGGTCTCTCCTTTTTCTTACGCTATTTCATTCTCGTTACAAACCAGGTGGTTGGCAATTAACAAGCCATTTCTAAAGTATTGTTTCGAAAAGAAAAGCGAAGCATTTAGAGGCAACAAAAGTGGTTTCTTTATTGAAAAGACTGCGTGTGTTGTTAAACAAAAGCCGCACAGAGGGAGCTTGATTAGCGCTCTACATGGTCGGCAAAGAACAAAACCAAAACAATATTAGAAAGATGAAAACATTGTTGATTAACAAAGGATGCGAACGACTCAAATAATAAGACTGAGCTAAAATTAATGAGGGCTTAGTTATTGATCTATTTTATTTCTAGACTTCAAGGACTCAATATTATTAAGGAAAAAGATCTTTTACTCTAATATAAAATATTACTTTTTGTAGATCTTTTAGAAAAATTCATCATTTTATAGTTTCAAAGGATAAATGTGTTGGTTATTTTTCACCGGCCGAAATGAGTGCATTTCAATATCTTGCCCTTAGAAGTATAATTTCCATTTTATATTATTTTGAATATTTAAAGCAAGCAATAATGATCCGGCCGTTAATTTGGATCAAAGGAGCGAAGGATTAGCAAAGGTGCCGTATAATTGTTTTGAAAAAACAGGATGCGATGTGTTAAAGTCGTTTGCGAATTACTCTGCTTAAAAATGCAAACTTCAAAGCATGTGGGCTAAAGGAAAAGATTACATTTTGTTTAAACATGTGCAGCGCGAAGTAGCTGACAAAAACACTGATTAGTAATACCGCGGTCGTGCGCTCAAAGCACTTAAATTATCGGGGGCTATGTGATCTTTGCATAAAAAATTAATGCTTATGAAACTGTAAAAGACGGAAACACTTTAGAACGAAATAAATAGCCATGCATCTGCTGATGAGAAATGAAAAGCTTAAGTCAATATCACAGCATGCGTTGTATTAACTATAGTCAACACAACCAAGTCAAGTACAAACTATATTCAGCATAGATATCTCTTATAAGTCTTCATGCAGAGAAATATTTTAGATCGATAACTATATATAAGATATAACTTTTAGAAGATAATCGTCATTATTGCGGAAAGCAGTTTTTATCAAGTTTCTCACTTAAAAAATCTATAAACATTCAATATTCATTGCACGCGGTATTGTTATAACCACCCACCTTTTCAAGGAGCTTTTTAATTGCCATTCAGCCGTATTTACTTTGAGCTATTCTTTACCTCAATTTCAGCTATTGTGTTTAGAGATGATTTAGATGTAATTCTTTGTTATGGAGATACTCGGACAGCAAACAAGTGTAATTCATTGAGGTTTTGACATGCATGCACTGTCTGTCTTCGTCATTCATTAAATGATTTTTCAACAAACATTCACTGCGCGACTCATGTATATTTTATAAAACGTTATCGCCCGTTATTGCTTGGACGTTCGGCGCCTATATTGCTGTAATTATCGATCTTAAAGGGAATTTTTCTACAAAGTTATTGCAATTGAAATAAATCGTTGTCATAAAGTGCATTAGTTTTATCATTCGGTCAAACGAAGACACTCTTTCAAAATGACAGTACGTTGACATTTTCAGTCCATCATTTTCGCGGTGTGACTTGAAAGATGCCATTTCGCGCTATATATGTTTGCTACTCTGATATAATTGTTTGTCATTCGCTTTATTGGCTGGAGAATTTTAAGCAACGAAACGTTAACTTTAAAATGATAAGTATATATATGGTTTTATCTTCTTGCATGCATAACTGAATAAGGAAAGTTCGATGAGTTTGCGCACAGACTGACAGGCATAGGTTAATCGCGTGTATAGCGCGGATCTGTATACAAGGTAGTATGCAAAAACGTATAAGAGCTTAGTTTAGAATTAAAAGGTTTCGTTATAAAAATTCGTGGGGCATGGGTCATAACGCAAGCAATCCCAACAAAGCAGTCGTTTATCGCTGAAAGATCCAGAGTCATAACAACTATATGAATTTGTGAAACAAAGCGGGTAAGAATTGCACAAATTTCAGTATTTTTTTTGGTTTCAAATTATGTTTAACAAATTTGCAATCTGGCTTGTGTAAAGCAGCTGTGCTATATATAGGACGTATATTTTATACAATTTATTCCACTGAAGGAACATTTCCTCGAATGATATCCACAGGAGTATATATATACAAATGTGGTCTATAAGACTATATATTTACAATCTCCGTTTACTCTTAATTGGAGTCTACCCTCTCTGTCAAATGATATTTTAGAGTAAAACATAAGCTACAGGTCTGCCTCGCATATCGGCGTTAGGCCATGAACAGTTACAAGGCACCGCGTACTGTCCTGCCGGGGAATTAGGTCCACCACTATGGGTATGAGTGTGTGTATGTGGTGCTGTGGAATTCATTGGCGATGTTGGAATAAGCGCTGAATGATTCAGCCTTGTTTGTGATGCGATGCCAGGGTAGGGTGAATAATAAGGAGTTGTAGGCAAAAGTTCTGGTCTTGTTGTATTCGTATCATAAGCTGCAGCATAATGAGCATAGCTAGATTCAAGTCTACTGTTAGCTGATGTTGTTGCCATGAATGACCTTGCTTTCACTGTTTGAGTGTACTCAGGTGACATAAATGATCTTGCAGAAGGAAGACTTAACGTTGGATATTTGGTTAAAGGGTCAAGGATAGGTTGAAACGGTAATGGAAAAGCATAACGGTCTTTCTTCAATAACGATTTTGGTTTTCGTCGCGGTCTGTATTTGTAATCAGGGTGTTCTTTCATATGCAGTGCTCTGAGTCGTCTAGCCTCTTCAATATGTGGTCGTTTGTCTTCTTCTGTCAGTTCCTTCCATAATTCCCCAAGTTGTTTGGAGATTTCCGAGTTATGCATCTTTGGATTCTCCTCCGCCATCTTCTTCCTCTCGGCCCGGGACCAAACCATGAAAGCATTCATCGGACGTTTGATATGATTTTCAGATTTTGAAGACATCTCTTTTCTTTAGATTTCAAACCTACAACAACCAACGTTGTTTTAATAATGAAAATACTTTTATATGGAAACGAGTTTTATAAATTGCATAAAGCAATGATATGCATGATTGCCTATGAACTATAGCCATAAAAAGCTATGATGAGCGTAAAATAAAATATTTTTATCCTATTGAGTATTGCATTATTGGTATATATGCCAACATTCATCAGAAACAAGTTTGTTTCCGCAAAGATTATTTTTCGTTGATGATCTACCTGTATATGACCGGCCGAAAATTATTTAGTTTTGCTCTTGGCACAGCTAAAAGCTCGAACTAAAAATCGTGAAAAGAAACACTCAACTGATTTGATCCCAAATGTTCTAGCAACATGCAGCGTTTTACTCCCACCTTTGTATTATCTTCGTATTAGCGAAAGTTTTCTGCCTTTTTGATGGCGACGTGATGGTTTCGGACTTTATCAGTTTATTTTACATATCAAATTGTTGTTTTACATTTAACAAATTCTTATTGTCACGAGGAATTTTCTGAAATCTTCCTTGATGCGATAGCACGTCAAATGATAAAGCATATGGCTAGACACTAGAATCGTTAATATATCGGAAGAAGCTGAAGAAGGGCAGATCCCGCTTGCAGTCAGGTTACCGTTGTAAGACTTTATTAACGCGAGCCGTTTAAATTTATCTTGTGGTGGGGTTAAATTGCGTGTTTTATTTTACTAAAATATTCTGAATATTTAAGAGACTGCAAAAATTGTGATAAGTTTACTCAAGCATAATTTGAACTGGCGTCATAAGCTTAGTTGCTTATGTTGCTACCTTCATCAATTTACTACTCCTTCTGAAAAAATCATTAATACTATGGCAAAAAGAAGTCTAATATCAGGAAATTGATTCAACTTGACTTCAACTTCAACGTGCATGCATTTACACAAAAGAGGATTTACGCTAACGCCAGACGCTGGGGTCTTTTATCCTTTGAATAACTTGGAGATTAGGAGAAATGACTTTGGAAAATAATTTAGCAGCAGTAAATGTGAGACTTTAGGTGCCATTGAGCCGCTCTGAGGGTTATCCAAAGCCTAGGGCCAAACCCACTGATACTTTATAATGTACGGGAGATCCGTCAATGGCGACATTTAAACACGGTGAACCCAGCGATTACGTTATCATACATACTGTGTTTCTTCAAAGCACAATTACATAGACATAATAACAAACCAAACTTAAAAAATAAGTTTTGCAGTTTACCTGGTTTCTGGCACCAAGTTAGTCAGTTATTTGACAAGTATTCAAAGTTGTCTTAGAGAATATATGATCTCTAAACTAGTATAATCCTTCCTTCTTCCAATCACAAAAATAAATATGAAGTTTGACTTGACTCAGCTCACTCGCTGTTTGCGGAGTGCCTTGTACAGTTGTCTGCAGCGCAATGATCTCTCCACTTGTGATGTACGCCGCTACAGCGCATTAAATGAATGCCAGTCGGTACTTTCGGCATAGATCAAAGTGAAAACCTGAAAACGTGATCAAATCAAATTCATGCATCGCACACAATGACAAATATTTTAATTTGCTAGGGGAGGGGGAGCCGTCCACCATTCTGTATTGCTGGCTAATTTTCGAATAAAATAATTTCCAAACCGACGAATTGCTGAAAATAACGGCACAAAGCTTAATTGGAAACTTCTCGATCTTTTTTTAATAATTTTCCAAGAATGCGATACAACCGAAATTTTAGTATTTTGTTACTCGGAACAAATTGCAATGTATATAATAATGCTATATATTTAGTAAAAGTAAGCAATAGTCTTGAAGTCGACTGACTTTGAGACTACATTGTAGTGTTATTGGTTGAAAATATAAATGTGATAACATGTTACACAAACATGAGTAAAGTGTTTACTACCGACAACATTATTACTTTTTGTTCAGTTTTTTGCTCATTGTTATACAGCATTGTGTTCACATATCGTTACTAAAAATCCCACAAGCCACAATATATAATGAACACTGTGAACACATTGTATAGAAATGACTAAACTGCTTGTTTAAACTGCTCTAGCTAACATCTCAATGCAAAACCGTCATGTCGGTTTCATCAATGAGCCGGCGTTATATTAAACTGAAAGTAGCCAAGTTTTATTAACATCTAATATGTCAAATATTATATATTAACATAAATAACGGTTCCCATGTTATATTATTTTGTCTGTGTATATTCTCTTGGAAGGGCCCGACAGTTGATCAATTATGGGAACTGCATTTTACATAACAATACTGGCGTCCGCTACAATATACACTCCACTTCATACAACATTTAGCTCTGTTCATTTGTTTTGTTTCAGATAATATCCCACGATTGTATTACAACATGAGCCATAGGATCAATGTATACACTTGAACAAGACATCTACATTATGTCTAGTCGCTAAATTAGTTTTAGTTTTTTTATTACCTTTTGTTGCATGTCGAGTGAAGACATTGGTATCAAACTAAGAAAGAAGATAAAAGACAAAACTGACGACAAGCTGTTTCCTGTATTTGAAAATGAACTTTTGTTTTGCTATCTCCACGGGTAGAAAATGGGCGGCATTATTAAGCTTAAGACAATCATCATATACTACTATTCAAGCAGTTTTATCCTCACTCTCTTTCAACACGTCGCAATTCAATTTCTTAGAAATGTTAAGAATGAAGGTTTTATAAAGCAAAAACCAAGAGAACAGCAAAAAATTTGATATACATGTTTTATTGAGAAAGTATAATTTTAGCTGTCATAACATGAAAATATATTGTGTAAATGAGACGAGCATGTGCGATTCAGCAATTTACGTCCAACTGTTAAGTTTAATTCCTCAAAACAATTCCTTTATTTGCTTGTATAATACTTGCCCGTAATAAAAGACGGCTAGTGTATTTTTAACAAAGGCGTTGTCTATACACTGTACGACGCAAAATTCACGACATTTTAGACTAAAATTTCTGTTTCATCAGGAATAATGTACAAATTGCGGTATTTTATTGTATAAATTTCATTTATCTGTATAAACGCGTTTAGGTTTGCCCAATATTACAGGTAGTTATTTTCGTTTTCAATATATATTGCTTCGAACGAAACTTAAATAATTAAATAAATCTTGTGGAAAAGAAATAATTATAACAAATATGCATTATAACTGCACCGTTTACATCCAATCTGTAATATATACTCAGGACAATCAATAGTGAATTGAAAAAACGTTCCAACTTGGAGTTGATTTACCACATTCGCGCCGTTAAAAGGTTGCGCACGTTCGCACTTGATGAAAAGATAAGGCAAATTTCTTACATTTTAGATTCGATTATTCCACTATGACAAGTGCGAACGAAACCTAGACCAAGGCAAGCTTTTGGTATGGCTCTAATACTGAAGCGTGATAACTCGCATGTGCAATATTTGTGTATAAAGTTAGCTAAGAAATAAAATCTTCATCAGTAAAACCAAAACTGTCAAAGTACTGTGAGGTGCTAAGTGATTTCTTGCGCGGTTCCGCCAAACAAATTAGCTTTTCTTTTAAAACTAAGCATCACATTAAAAATTTATACCGAGGATTGAAGTGGGAACTATTTGAATTACTTATGATAGCGATAAAAACAATAGCTTTGACTTAACTCTTAAAAATATTGTATATAACACCAACGGAAAATTATTTGTTTCCATTCTTCGCGGCAATGAACGAAAGTAGAATTCATATCCGCTGTGAAAAATTAAACAAATTAACTATGAGATTTTTCCTGGATAAAAGAACATTGAAAGAAACCGACAAACTGAAATGATTAGTATAATGAAGTCAGTTTTAATAGTGTTTTCAAAACAGAGTTTTTTAATTGTTCTAGTTGCAATTGTGAGCACCTGCAGTATATATCTCAAAAATTAAACCTAGTTGAAAAAATATAACAAAGCACATATATACAGCAAACATTTGATCAAACTTTGTTTTAGTCGAATAAAGTTATCTTTTCCCATTGTCGCGGGTGTATCTTTCAGCATTAAAACACAAAAGTTATTGCCAAATATTTTTCAACCGCACAAAAGTGTTTTATATAGCTGCTTTTGAAAGCTTCTTATCTTCAGTAATATTGATTATTGGGACAACATTTAAAGCAGAAACAATATTTACTAATGATAATTGATAAACATCATTTTTATTCAACCAAAACTATTAAAATGAGTTGAAAATATATACATCGTTCGTCCTTGTCCTTGAAATTTAATTCGCGATATTGCTTTTACTTAGTTATGTCGCATTCAGTTACTAAATTTTTATTGAATTGACTTGGAATCCAAACCAATACTGATCTATTGTAAATAACATTTTCACATTAAAATAGGAAATGTTTCCTTGTTGTTATTGCTTGTTGGCCACTGGGCTAGTTGTTTCACCATCAGTCTGAAAATTAGGCCTGAACCAAGATAGTGCAGATATGTATATGCATGAGTTGCCATTTTAGATTCATTTTATTTCTCCCCGCAGTCCGTGATATTGCTGGGCATGATGCGGAAAGTGTACGTAAGCTGGTGTATAGTACTGATAGTAATATAACTTATAAGCAACCGTATTTACTCGTTTAAGCGCCACGGCCCTCGTTACGGATGGGGCGTTTATTTGAGGGCGGCGCTTGTTCGAGAGCGGTGTTCTTTATAAAACATTTTGTTTGTAAGCGATAACAAGAAATATTAGCAGCAAAACATAATATAAAAACAGGAGAAAAACGTTCCGAGGCTTGTTAAAGATTTCAACCTTCGTACTCAGGGCGTTTTCCTTCCGCAGTTGGTTGTTGTGAATAAGTGCGGCGCTTTTTCGAAGGCGGCGCTCTTTAAAAAAAGCGGGGGAGGGGGGGGGGGAGGCACTTGGACGAGTAAATACGGTACATATATTCATTTCTATGTCTTCCCATGATTCGTGTGCGACCCTGTTAAAAAGTAATGCATAACCAACACAGAAATTATTGCATGTTATCCGTCAAATACTGTAATGGTTACCCTTAGCCTGAGGGTGCATGTTAGACGTCAAAGACAAGCAGAAATATTGTTTCATTCTTTCGTCCGTCTTGTTCTTTGGTTTAATAAATAATAAAGAATAAAGTTGAAAGTTCTTTCGGATTAATGTTGTAAAATAATATGAAATAATTTTATCTGACATCCTGACGTTGTTAAACTTAAACATATCGCTCAATGTATAATGTAGTACTGTACGTGATGTTTGAAACTATAATGAGTAATGGATCAGTATCTGATTACATTAATTCAGACAATTCAGTATTGGTTAAAAATCGAGAACGCGGGATGTAAGTCATATATTGACCAGAGGGACCTCAGGCCCCTAGGGCAAATATATAAATACTAGAAGTTACTATCGCAAGGAAAATGCTGCCTCACCCCCAAGGAATGAAATGCAGCATACGCAATTTGCTGAATAAGGGACTGTCTGTATGATACCGCTTTGCCAGGTATATTATATGATATATATATCGCAATTTCGAAGTTTATAACCAATTTATAAATTTACTATTTGTCATTTGAGAAGGTCTTCGACCAGTGCCTTTTTTAATCCCCCCCCCCCCCC